TTGCTATGTCTTCCTCTTATATAGTACTTTTCACACTTGTTTTGTTTTGTTAATTGTAAATCATCAAATATCATTAAATTATTTTTAATACAGTTAAGACTTTCAGGTTCTGGTACATCCTCTGCTGTTTCATAAAACTGACATTCTATATCTGTTTTATCTTTTAAATTTCTTGAAATGTCTTTAATAACAAACTCTGGATTTACATTGTTTTTATTTATTTGATCTTGCAACTCAAATAGTTTAAGAATAACTTCTTTTGGTAATTTATTTTCAAAAGAATTTTTTAATATTTTGTATTCAGGTTGAAAAAGAGATTTTCCAAAAACTTGTAAATTGTTATAGTCTAACCAACCAGGCCTTAATAGCAAGTTTAATAATAATGTTGTTTTTCCACAACCTGATTTTCCAACAATAATCCCTCTTATACTTTTAGGTAATAACTCATTATTTTGACGTTTACTTTTATTTATATTCCATGATAAATCTATAATTTCCATTTTTTATTTATGAAAAGTATTTTTTAAATTAAATAAATTAAAATACATATATAAAAAATGTATTGCGTTAAATGTAAAAACAAAACAGATACACTCCATTTACAACATGCTATGAGTAAAAACAAAAGAAATATGCAATGTGGAAATTGTGCAATCTGTGGAACAAGAAAATGTCAATTTATAAAAGGAGCTCAAAAAGGAGGTGATTTGGTAGAATCACTTAATAAATTCACAAGTAATAGAAAATTACCTTTGCAAAAGTTTCCAGGTGAAATGCATATACCAGGTATGAACTTTGCAGGACCTGGTACAAATTTAGATGAAAGATTAACTTCAACTGAGATGCCTAAAGAATGGAGTATGCCTGTAGATAGAGTTGATAAAACAGCTTATATTCATGATCTTGCTTATAAACATTTTACAGATAAAGAGAATAGAAATTTAGCTGATAAAATAATGCTTGAACAAATGGATGCTATACCTAATCCTACACCTCGTGAAAAATTAGAAAGAAGGATTATAAAACCTATCATATCTGCTAAAGTAAGGTTTGGTATGGGAAATAAAGAACCAATAAGTATTAAAGAATTATGTCAAAAAAACTGCAAGCGCAGAGGAAAAAAAGCAAAAACATGAAATGGACTGATGAACTTGCAAATGAACTTCATAAACCTGTTATAAAACATTTTAGAAAGAGAAAAGTAGTTGCAAATGGAATAGATGAAATATGGGCTGCTGATTTAGTTGACATGCAAGCTTATTCTAAATTTAATAATGGTATAAAATACTTATTAATGGTCATTGATATATTTTCAAAGTATGGATGGATAATTCCATTGAAAAGTAAGACAGGAATTGAAGTTGCTGATGCATTTAATAAAATATTTAAAGATAGAAAGTGTGCCAAATTATGGGTTGATAAAGGTTTGGAATTTTATAACAAGCATGTTAAAGCATTAGGTGTTCATCTCTATTCAACTGAAAATGAAGAAAAAAGCTGTGTAGTTGAACGTTGGAATAGAACAATGAAAGAGAAAATGTTTAAATACTTTTCTGCTAATTCAACTAGAAAATACATTGATGTTTTAGATGAAATGGTAAATCAATACAACAACACAAAGCATTCTTCAATTAAAATGACACCTGCTGAAGCAAGCAATAAAAAGAATGAAAATAAAGTTTGGTTAAATTTAAATGGTAAAGTGATATCTAATCCTATCAAACCCAAGTTTTCAATAGGTGATAAAGTAAGAATAATTAAAAAGAAAGGAGCATTTGAAAAAGGATACACACCAAGATGGACTGAAGAAGTATTTACTATATCACAAGTTCAATACACAGATCCACCCACTTATAAAATAATTGATTATAATAATGAAGAAATACAAGGTACTTTTTATGAACAAGAACTTCAAAAAACAAGTCAAGAGATATTTAGAATTGAAAAAGTTATTAAAAAACAAGGTAATAAATCATTAGTAAAGTGGTATGGGTATCCTGATACTTTTAACTCTTGGGTTGATAATACAGAATTGAAAAATATTTGACAAAGCCCGGTTCACATAGTGATTTAAATTTTTTTTACTATTAAAAAAATGAACAACTCAAATGTAAATGTGAATATATGTGTAACAGCTACTTCTGGTAATGCTAATACAAATACCACTGTAACGACAACAACTTCAAATTACAACTCTAGCAAATGATGTAAAAATTAAAAAAATTGAAAATGATATAAATAATTTTTCTTTTATATATAAAAAGAATGACATATGTAGATATTGAAAATTTTGATGAAGCAAATTTATATGTAAAAGAAATAAAAAAATTTAATAAACCTGTTCAATATCAAAAAATAGTAATTGAATACAAATATAATGATAAGCTTTCAGAACCATTAAGAGTAAAAACACCAAAATCGTTATCATATGGAGTTTGTGAAAATAGAGACATGAAAACAAAAGAACTTACAGGATACTCAATTCCTTTTGTATGTGAAAATGATATATTTATCGCAATTATTGAAGCTATTGAAAAATTTTGTAGAGATAAAGTGAATGAAAATGAAGCAACGTTAAAAAAAGGGGGTATGAAAAGCTTAAATATTAACAACTTGAATATTTTAAAGTATAGAAATGATGATTTTAAAGCATCTCCAATTATATATGCAAAAATACCAACAGATTATAAAAGTAAAAAGATGGATCAAGTATTCAGAAATAAAAATGGTGATATTTTAGGAGAAAGTCTTATTAAAAAAAGATGTGATGTTGTTGGATGCTTAGCAATTGAAGGTATATATATAGGATCAATGATTCAATCTATTCAAGTAAAATTATTAGATGCAGTTGTATCTAAAAATAAGTATAAGATAGAAAGATTTTATATTAAAGATGTAGACTTAGAAAGCGAAGATGAAGAGTGAATTAAATAATTATTATAAATATAAAAATGTATATTGAAATAGAAAAAAATAAACAAAATCCAGTTATAATTAAATTTGATGATATTATTAAACTTGATGAAAATAAAGAATATGAAATGGCATTGGATAGATTTCAAACTATTCTCTATAGCGATTCAACTAAAAACAAAAAAGTATATATATTAAATAATCTTGTAGATGGAAAAATTGTATCTAATAATGGAAATGCTAAGAAAACGACTGTAATGTATTCATTTATTCCAATTATTGTTTCCAAAAATTCAGTTATTAATGAACAACCGATATCAAAGAAATATTTTCCTTTAAAAACAAAATCCATTTCAGAAATGAAAATTGACATCATTGATAACTTTAATAAACCTATAGATTTTAATAATGAAAGTTATACCATAGAATTTCATATAAGAGAGAGAAAGTAGATCCATATAAATTTTTTTATATTGAAAACAATATAAAAAATTATGACATATATAAAAAATGTCAATAACAATACATATATCTTCAAACGATACTGTTATAAATACTAATATGACAGTACCTATTGAACTAGATGCACATAAAGAGTATGGAATAGCTCTTAAAAAATTAATGACTTATAATAGTTTTCCAAATATTATTGAAGGAATGAACAATACAATAAATATTACTATAGAAGCTAGTGATAATCCTGGTTTTCAACAAATTAAGATCCCAACAGGATCCTATGAACTTAGAAATATAAATGCAATTGTAACTAGATATGTAATGACTACTCTTAGAGATCAACTTGCTAGATATAAAGAGTCTTTTAAAAATGTACCAAGCACAGATATTGAAAATTTTAAAAAAAAACAAAAGTATGATAGTATAAGACTTGATCCTACATCTATTATATTTGAAGCAAATTTTAATACTGAAAGATCACAGATTATTATTAATAAAAATAGCAATATTAGAATACAATTTGATGATGACTCTATAAAAAACCTTTTAGGTTTTAATAATAGAGATCGTGATGGTAATCTTATAACATTTGACTCATCAAAAGTATATATTTCAGATAAAGTAATAGATATAAATCATGTTAATACTATTAATGTAACAAATAGTCTTGTAACAGGGTCAATTATAGATGGTGCATATTCAAATGTTATATATTCATTTTATCCATCTACGCCAGTGGGTTATAAAATTGTAGAAGTACCGAATAATCCAACTTATTATAGATTATTATCAAAAAAAATTTGGGATATGAAAACAACAATAATGGACCAAGATGGGCATATACTTACTTTACAAGGAGAGCCGATAAGTATTGAATATGAAATAAAAGAAATTGTATCAAAATGTAAATCAGAACATCTTTTAGAAAAACAAGTATCACTTTTAGAAGAACAAAATGAACTTTTAAAAAAAAAAAGATAATTTAAAATGAATTAAAAAATATATAGTGTAAATAAAATGTTAGATATAAATAAAAAAGCATATACTCACAAGTATGTAGGAGGTGGAAGTGGAATATTTACAGATATAAATAATATGTATAATCAAGCAAAATCTTCTGATTTTTTTAGAGCATTATCTGGTATGAAAACAATGTTAACTAATCATTTTAATAAAAATGGACCAATAATTAAATAAGTCTCTTTGAAACCTAGATTCATTTAAAAATGAATTAAAAAATATATAGTGTAAATAAAATGTTAGTTATAAATAATAAAGCATATACTCACAAGTATGAAGTAGGTGGAAGTGGAATATTTACACCTTTTATGAATATGATTAATAAGCAAGCATTAAGTAATGCACTTAATGCATCTCGTATTTTGGCTAGTAAAGCAGCTGCTACAGATTTGGGAAAAACTGCTGTAGATGCAGCAAAGTCAGCAGGGAAAGAACTTGCAACTTCTGCAATATCTACTGCTAAAGATATTGTAATAAATAAAGGTAAAAAATTAATAGAAAATGTAAACAAATCATCAAAGATGACACCTGAAAACAAACAAGAACTTAAAAATTTAATAAATACTTTAGATAATAAATTAAATGAAGCAGTGCCAGATATTAGTAAAATCATGATGGGATCGTCAATAAAAAGTAAACCTGTTAGAATACAAGATTTAGTTAAAAAACATAAAGGCGATGGTCTTAAAATAATATAATTTTATAAATAGCATAAAGTGATTTAAAAAAATTATATTGTATATATAAAAATGGTAAAATCTGATATATTTAATATTACTGATAAATTGAGAATTGATGAGGAGATTAAAAAATATGAAGAATATGAATTTACACCTTCTGTTAATTCAAATTTAAATTTAGGAGAAATAAGAATTTTTATTGAAAACAGTGATTCTTTGTTTCATCCACATGAATCCTATTTAGAAATTGAAGGAAGACTTGTAAAAGCAGATGGAACTGCATATGCAAATACAGATGCAATAACACTAACACACAATGGA